CGCAGACTGCAGCTTATTTTATACATTTGACTCAAAGGAGGAGACGTAATAAGGGTTACATGAAAGCCATTGGTGGTAGATTAAGGGGGCAGGAGAAAGCAAAGCTGGGAAATCTCTGGAATGGATAAAAAATAAAATGAAGAGACACATAATTCTTTTACATTGGTGGGTACAGGAGAGTTAATAATTAACATTTACAGCACGTGGAAATGGTATGCGGGCAACAAGATGACAATGAGGGGTTCTATGGTCTCCTCCTCTGGTACCCTGTGCCTTGAGGGGTCTGGAAAAGAAGAGTACTCTGACATGTTAAAGGTATGTTATCTTAGATGCACAGAGACAACAGACAGGCTCACTTAAGGTAAAGACTGACCTTTTTCAAGGAAGCTACAGGCCAAGGACGTGACTACCAGCTGTGACCCTCTCAAGTTAGGAATTTTTATGTGCAGACCATCCTATGTGGTTACTTTTGGTCTCTGAGTTTGTAGGACCCACCACCAGGCCTCCCCTGAGCTTGTCAGGTATAGTATGTGGCCCCTTTTTCGTCCACAGAGTTCAATCTTTAATTTTCAGATGAAACATATGGGACCAGAGAGGATGAGGGAGCATGCTGGCCACAAGGCCAGCTGGGGGCAGCCTTGGGACATGGCTGTCCGGGTCTCCTGCTCTTTTTACTGCTCGATTTGATCTTTCTTTTGCTAATGATGACACTTGATAATTTATTGATGGGAACCGACACATGGGAGAGCCTATATGATCTGTAGCAACAGCCAGACGGTCTTTAATAAAACATTAATAAAGCAAGAGCAGATGGCATTAATAAAGTATTATACAAACATGTCCGAGAACCATCAAAAGAATTTTTTTTCTGGATTTCCTAAATATGGAGAATTTATCAGACAAGACATAAAAGAGGAAATCAACCTCTAAGTTGTGATCTGAGAAATATTTTTGATTCCTGTAGATATTTTGGATAATAAAAGATTTTAAATGTAATTCTATCCCAGATTTGTTAGCCCTACAATGGCTGTTTTCGTGACAATTTTAGAAGCAATGACAAAGCTTTAATAGAAACAGAAGGAAGCTCCTACAACTTCCTCCTTCTTTGAAAATCCAGCCCAAAACCAGGCTATCCCATTTTCCCACTTTCCTAGAAAAAAAAAGATTTCTGGAAGGCATAAAAAATGATATATTTTAATATCAGGACAACGGAAATCACTAGACTCATTGATGTAAGAAACATCCAAATCCGTAGAGAATTTTTATAAGAGCGTATTTGAGCCAAAACAATGGCAATGCCAGGAGAAAGATCTCAAAGGCTCCAGAGAATAGTAGTTTTGCAGCTTCTTTTATGCATTTGGAATTAAAGAGGGAACTTAAGGAAGATTGAAGAAAGCCAGTCAGGGGATTGGATTACAGGATAGTTAACAAGACTATGTGCTTTCTTGAGGGTGGTTGCAGTTTATTTCAAAGGTGTGCTAACCTAGATGCACAGAAACAGTGGTCAGGGCTCGCTAAAGGCATCGATAAACCTTTCACCAAAGAAATTATATGCCTGGCACGTGACTATTCACCATGACCTGCCCAGTTAGGAATTTATGATGAAATCACCTGTGAAGTTTACTTTCCACGAACCCCTTTTTTCATTCACAGACTTGATGGCAGGGCTAGTTGTAGGAGCCACTAAGTCCAGAGAACTTTTAAAAACAGAAAAAATAACCACCTGCTTTGAATGAGTGAATGTTAATTTATCTGAAAGTGAAAAGCTGGACTGTTTTTGAATCGTATTTAAATGTTTGGCTTCCTCCCAAACCTGTATCAGCTGTGCCAGATTTGTAAGCTGCTTCTCTAAGATTTAGAGATTTTTTTCTTCCGTGAAGTAGGGGTAGCCATACTCTTTGGAGTTGTACAAAGTTTCAATGAACTAATGTATATAAAGGACCATGCCGGACACAAATTGAGCATTCAAAAAATGTTGCTATGCTATCTAACTTGGTGCCCACTGTTCTAAGATGTAAGTAGCAAAGTTGAGAAATAATTAGTGGTTTCCTTTTTGTAACCCTTCCATATATGTTTCAACTTCCTGATCAAATCTTGCTATCCAGAAAGGCTCCACATCAACATTTATGGCCTTAATGTGATTCTTTACTGCAGTGTGATTTCCCTTGGGGATATTTACATTTCGAGCCTATTTCTGATTCTGGAATTGGAGACTAATCATTGCTGGCGAGAATGTCTGGCATTACCCTTGTGGGGGCAGGGCTTTTGGTGAAGAGGGAGAGATGAGAAACGAAAGACACTTCGAAGAGCTTTCAAGCATGCTTGTTCGCCTTACCTGGATCCTTCTCCGCAAATTTCTGATCACAGGCTAGTCTTTCCAGGATGCATTTTCTGACAACTTTCCCTCCCAAGTCAGAACTAGGGGGTCCTTTCAGCTTTTCCAGTAGGCCATTCCTCCAGTAGCTGCGAGCTTCTTAAGGGCAGGGAATGGTTTTATTCAGGTACATCGTGGGCACTCGATGATGTCTGTAAGATGAGAGGGAATTCCAAGGAACCTGAAACCAATAATGACAGCGACTATTTTCCAGTATCTACTGGGTGCCAGATTAATCACAGTAACCACGTGAGTTAGGTGTTATCAATTCTACTCTATGATGAGGAAACTGAGGCTTGGGTGAGTGATAACAGCAAGAAGGAGGTGGAAAGGGTTCTCAAACTTAGCGCTTGTGCAACTCCGAAACTGTGAAACAGCCAAGTCTTAATAAGCTGCCCCACACTGACACTGAGATTTGCTTGTTTGGTTGGTTTTTGGTGTTTGTATTAGTCTGGGTTCTCCAGAGAAACACAATCAATAGGATATATCTGTATAGATATAGAAAATTTCCTGGGAAAATTTTTCTGTGTATCTCTTTCTATAGATATACAGATAGAGATAGAGATACAGATAGATATATCCTATTGGTTCCGTTTGCTTCTACATATAGATTTCTAGATTATGTATCTATAAGGAGATTTATTTTAAGAATTGGGTCTCATGATTATGGAGGCCGAGGGTCCCACGATCTACCACCTAAGAGTTGGGAAACCAGGAAAGCCAGTGGTGTAATTCAGACTGTGTCTGAAGGCAGAGAACCATGAGTGCCAGTGTCGGAGGACAGGAGAAGACGGATGTCCCAACTCAGGCAGAGAGAGCAAATTCTCCCTTCCTGCACATTCTTTTTCTATTCAGGCTCTCAAGGGGTTGGATGATGCCTACCGCATTGGGGAGGGTATCTTCTTTACTCAGCCTACAGTTTCAAGTGCTGGTTTATTTCCAGAAACACCCTCATAGATGCACCCGGACATAATGTTTTATCAGCTATCTGGGCATCCCTTAGCCTAGTAAAGTTGACACATAAAATTAACTATCTCAGTACTGATGTTTTTCAGATGAGAACATTAGCGCAGGAAGATGGCTTTACTCTCAGAAAGCAAGCACACTTGAATTGCGATGTCCCTGTGTACCCACTTACTCCTGGCTGCTTAGATTCCTTTGAGAAACACAGCCTTGCAGTGAGATGATAGGTACAGTTCTTCTGGGGGGAAAAAAAATGAAACTTGAGAATTTCAAAGTATACTACCAGAAAAAAAAATTTCACCTCCACCAACAGTTTGAAAACAAAAGGAAAATCTCTCGTGGTGTCACAGGTGCCCAGAGGTGGCCTCAACTTCTAGAGCTGTTCGCTCTTCCATCAGTCAGACTTACAAATTTATTTCACCGGCACTCTTAGCAATCAGTCAAGATTGAGTCAGATGCCGAGATAATTTTTCCTCGCCAAATTGCTTTTTCTGTTGTAATTAGCCTTTTTAAAGACCTTACCAAACAACAAAAGTGTATATAATTCCCACTCTCCCCTGGCCAATTAAAATTCACCTAAGAAGTTTTATCAATAATAATCATTATTGATGGAAAATACCACTCTCAGCCACTCTATCACCTGTTTCTCCACGTTTTTTAGATATCCTTTAAACTAGGTTTTAAGAAAGTTTTATTTTTTAATACATGCATTCTATAATTTGGAAATAAATTATTTTAAACTAAAAACAGGTTAGCTGTCTGGGTTGCCCTAATTGGGATTCTTTATAAAAGCCCTGAACTTGGCCAACACTTTTTGTCCTCTAAAAGCATTTTGAAATTGAACCTGCTGCTGCTCTGAGAAACCCACTTCCTCTTCTTATCCTGGGCATGTGGTTAGGGGGACCACGTGACTGATATCTGGGCTAAGGAAGGTACACTACAGAGCCAGGCCCATGAAAGTCTCCCAAGAGGGAGCCTCCAGGTTCTTCGTGTCTCTGCCTCCTGGAGATGGCTGTGCCTGGGGAACCTTGGAAGACTGAAGTGGAGATGGCAAAGCCTCCACTAACCTGGTTCCTGAAGGAACAGAGATCGATCTCCTCCATACCTTCAATTGTTCACTGAGAACAAATGACCCACTATTATATTTGAGCCATTATAATTTGGGGATTTACTTGTTTTAGTAGTTAGCTTACCCTAACTGGCTTTCCTAGACCCAGACGCCTTTCCGTCTCCATCATGATAGATGCTCCCGCCAAGCCTTCCCGTGAACTTCTTACCCCTTATCCTTACTGTTTATCTGTCTGCCTTCCCAGATAGACTCCCAAGCTCTGTGAGGGCGTGGACCACATTTCCTTCACTCACCGTTATATCCTCAGTATCTAAAATGCCTGGCACAGAGTAGGTTTAATAAATGTTTGTTAAATTAACAAATTGTTGGATGCATGGACTTTGCCTTTCTCTGTGCTGGGTGTAGAAAAATTAGATGCTGAACAATCTTTTAGAATAATGGTAATGAGAAAAGCGCATACAGCTCTGAATCGTTACTCTTGGATGTTTCCATAAACCTGGCATCCGGTGGATAATTAGTGGTCTTCGTTGCAAACATCCTTAAAGCTGACAATGATATATGCTTCTGCATGAACAATGGATAAAAAAATAAAGGTGCTTTTACTAATTTTGTTTATTTAAAGAGAATTTCATTTTTAAAAAAAGTGTGGTCGATCGAAGATTTCTGGAAATTCTTTGCTGTTTTTCCATTGAGAGGTAGAATATAATTCCCCTCTCTGAATCTGGCCTTACTTCAACAACAGACTGCTGGGGAAGTTACAATCCACATCTTCAGGGGCTAAGTCATAGGAATTACAGCTTCTGCCTTCTTTCTTGGAACACTCCCTTTTGGAGCCCCGAGCCTCCAAATACAAAGTGTGACTTCTCTGAGACCACCATGATAAAGAGAACACATGTAGGGTGTTTGGTTGATAACCCCAGATAAGTGTTGCCTCCTAGCCATTCCTGCCAAGGCATTAGATATGTGGGTGAAGCTATGTTGGACCCAGCAGATTAGGCCATTCACTGGCTAAATTCCACTGGGCGATCCCAATCAATGCTGCACGGAACTGAAGAATCATTCAGCTGAGCCTTGCCCAAAGGCTTGACCTGCAAAATCATGAGATATAATGAAATGGTTATTGTTTCAAACCACTAAGTTTTAGGGTATGCAGTAAACAATAATTGGAACAAGAAATTACTTCCTTATTTGTCCAATAATATTTGCATAGAGACTTTTAATTTTGACCATTTTGTTGATCATTTGCTGGCCACCAAGTAAATTTCAGTTCTCCTTGCGTCTGTACCTGTAATTGAATAAGAGATGGTTGGGACACTGACAGAAACAGGTTATTAACTCTGGGTCATAGTTAACCCTCTGTAAAGCTTTTTATTTTAAAGCAATAATTGGTAATCTGCATTAGCAATACAGTCTCTGGTTTAAAAAAAAACACTTGAGATTCGGGAGGTAAATTAAATTGGTTTAAAAATATATATCAATGTATGCTAAATTTTATTTTAGTTTACGTTGGCAGCTATGTTCTGAGAAGCAGTCAATGTGGTAAAAGACAAATTATACATAGGTGAAAAATTTCAGGCTCAATTTAAAAGTGACATTATATGAAAAGTGATTATTAAAGAAAAGAATACTCACTTTTATTGAGGGCCTACTATGTGTTGAGTGCTTTTTATTCATCTTCTTTTTTAATCTCATGACAATGCTATAAGCAATTTTTAAATGGGAAGTAAAAATTTGCCTAAGGTCTCAGCTGGTAAGTGATGGTCTGGATTTGACTCAAATTTGACAGATCCAAAGCCTGTGTGCTTTCTTTCTGCAGAGGTGATTCATCTAAAAGAGTGAAGATCTCAAGTGACATCTAACTGTGGTTTTAAGTGCAAAAAAATTTTGCATTTCTCTGATGATTAGTGACAATGAATATCTTCACATGTCTATTGGCCATTTGTATGTCCTCTTTGGAGATGTCTATTAAGGTTTTCTGCCCATTTTTAAACTGAATTGTTTGTTTCAAATAGGTACTAAACTTATTGGGAGATCACTTCATAAATTATATAAATGTCTGACCACTATGTTATATACCTGAAACTAATATAACATTGAATTTCAACTATAATTGAAAAATAAAAATTAACAAAAAAGAATGCAGGTCTCTCCAAAAGTGGCTCCCAAAGAAATAGGAAGTTACGGCAGCCATGCAGAGCTGGTTCATAAAAATGTTAATTTATGAAATATACCCATTAATGAATTTAATCAATTTTTGCTGACCTTTACAAATTGCTTACTTGGTAAGATTCCGGGGCTAGGTAAGGAATAGATAACTCCCCATCAAGGCGTTTCTGAAGTTCTGTAACTGGAAACATACATAATTTATATAATGAACCGTTTTTAAAGCAAATACTTGTCATCCTTATGACCAACTCCAGTTTATCTCCTATGAGATTCTGTTTCCTTATAGCTTCACTTTCTTACAGGGAAGATATCCACAATGGAGTAAGATGATCGGTGGGTGGTTTTCTTTTTATTTACTTACCTTCCTAGTTGAGCAAAAAGTTCCCATGTTGTATTTGTTCATATAAATTTACAGATGCTTTTATTTCCTAATTATAAACATAACTATTCAAAAATACAACAGAAAAGTAGACTGTTAGAATTACTCAGTCATAAAAAATGAAATCTTTCCACTTGAGACAATATGGATGGACCTAGAGGGTATTATACTAAGTGAAATAAATCAGACAGAAAAAGACAAACACCATATGATTTTACTTTTATGTGGAACTTAAAAAAACAAAGTAAATGAACAAACAATACAGAAATCAACTCACAGATTAACTGATGGTTGCCAGATGGGAGGAGGGTTGGGAGGGGGACTGAAAAAGGTGAAGGGATTAAGAAGAACAAATTGTCAGTTACAAAATACACAGGGATATAAAGTACAGCATAGAGAATATTTTCAATAATATTGTAATAGCTACGTATAGTGCCAGGTGGGTACTAGACTTATCAAGGGGATCACTTCATAAATTATATAAATGTCTGACCACTATGTTATATACCTGAAACTAATATAACATTGAATTTCAACTATAATTGAAAAATAAAAATTAACAAAAAAGAATGCAGGTCTCTCCAAAAGTGGCTCCCAAAGAAATAGGAAGTTACGGCAGCCATGCAGAGCTGGTTCATAAAAATGTTAATTTATGAAATATACCCATTAATGAATTTAATCAATTTTTGCTGACCTTTACAAATTGCTTACTTGGTAAGATTCCGGGGCTAGGTAAGGAATAGATAACTCCCCATCAAGGCGTTTCTGAAGTTCTGTAACTGGAAACATACATAATTTATATAATGAACCGTTTTTAAAGCAAATACTTGTCATCCTTATGACCAACTCCAGTTTATCTCCTATGAGATTCTGTTTCCTTATAGCTTCACTTTCTTACAGGGAAGATATCCACAATGGAGTAAGATGATCGGTGGGTGGTTTTCTTTTTATTTACTTACCTTCCTAGTTGAGCAAAAAGTTCCCATGTTGTATTTGTTCATATAAATTTACAGATGCTTTTATTTCCTAATTATAAACATAACTATTCAAAAATACAACAGAAAAGTAGACTGTCAGTTAGGGCTTTGCCAGAATCCTCCTGATCCCCCCGCCATGGGACAGGGAGAGCAGTCCTGGTAAAAAGGAGGGAGGGGAGGGGAGGGGAGGGAGGAGAGGGGAAGAAAGGGAGGGGAACCCTCTTACACACAATTCATCTCTGCCTCCCAACACACACAGGTGTGTCAAACATTGCTTGGTGGTGTGACTCTTGTGGTGCTTCTTATTTTTGCTCTGGAGAATCTGTACTGTTTGGTGGTTTAAAAGCTGGGATGGTGTCAAATGATCCAGATTTAAATCTTGGTTTTTTCTCTTCCCAGATGGATGGGCTTCCCAGCTTGTGACTCGGTTTACTCGTTTGTAACTTGGACTTCCAACTGGTTTCTGTGAGGATTAAATGAGCCAATCAGTGCATGTGATATACTCAGAACCATGCTTGGCAACAGTTAATCAAAAGTGCCATATAAATATTAGCTGCTGTTCATATTACTATCTTCCTCAAGCATTTAATTGAAAGGCAATGAGTAGGCCAAAAGACTGATGGAATTTGAAGCTACTGAATAACTTGTACCAAAAAGTTCACGTCATCTGTTACAAGTGGTAACCTATGCAGACAGAGGACCGGGGCTTGTGGGGCGGGAACCTCATGAACATTCTGTTTATGAGACTGTTCTTAAGATTAATGTCTTATGTCAGGAGGCAATAATATTTGATTACAAGCCAGAGTCATCACTATATGATTCAATCAAGATAGAGAACCAATAGCCTAGATGAAATGTCTCTTGAAAAGCCAGGACAGTGATTCTTTGTTTCTTCTAATACCTAATCCCTTTGTCAAGGCAGGAGACCTAAAGGAGGCCACCACCCTCAATAGTTTCTACCCACTCACTCATCCGACAACCATTAATTATGCACCTGCCTTGTGCCAGGCACTGCTAAGATGAGTAAGACCCTACGATCTAGTTCGAGAAACAAACAAGAAGATGCATTAGTTCAACATTTTTTTACTCTCTACCATGCATTGGGTACTATGGTAGGTGATGGGTATAGTGAACAAAGCGGACAAAAGACCCTGCCCTTATGGAGCTGACATTTCAGGGAAGAGGAAAATACAATAATACACAAAATTAGTATGATAAGTATAGTCTATCAGTTGGTGATCAGAGCAAAGGAGAAAAATAAAAGCAGGTGCCTGTGGGTTGGTGGACTGGCTGAACTTTTAATTTGAATACAGATGGTCTCCAATTTACGCTGGTTCAACTTAGCATTTTTCAACTCTTTGATGGTGCAAAAGCAGTATGCATTCAGTAGGTTGATTTATACCTAGGGATATGCCAACCAGCCACAGCTCCCAGTCAGCCATGCCATTACCAGGGTAGACAACCAGTACTCTGCAATGTATTCACTGTGTTAGATGATTTTGCTCAACTGCAGGCTAATGTAAGTGTTCTGAGCATGTTTAAGCGAAGCTATGATATTCAGTAGGTTGGAAAGCAATATGCATTCAGTAGGTTGATTTATACCTAGGGATATGCCAACCAGCCACAGCTCCCAGTCAGCCATGCCATTACCAGGGTAGACAACCAGTACTCTGCAATGTATTCACTGTGTTAGATGATTTTGCTCAACTGTAGGCTAATGTAAGTGTTCTGAGCATGTTTAAGCTAAGCTATGATATTCAGTAGGTTGAGTGTCTTAAATGCATTTTTGACTTAGGATATTTTTAACTTATGCTGGGTTTATCTGGATGTAACTCCGTGTTAAGCTGAGGTGCATCTGTAGTCAGTGATGGCTTTACTGAGATAAGGAAATGGGGTAACTGTAATTTAGGGATATGCCCAGAGCATATGGGAGCCCAAGAGAAAGCCCTGCGTCTTCCCCCGCCTTGAAGTCAGCAACAAAACTTATACTACCGAGTAAATTCTCAGAGGGCATAAATTTTATTTTCCCTCCTTCATTCTTCTCAGCCTAGCAGAGCTGCTCAGAGATGATTTCTAAATACTGACTGAAGGGAAATAGTGTTCAAGTCAGTCTATCAGCAAGCAATATTTTTGGCACCAACTATGCTCAAACTCACTCATTCGGCATTAACTAAGCACCCTGGTATGTGAGAGGTGCTGGATTCTGCCCTCAAGGAATTTAGAATAGTTACATGGATTATGAATAAGCGTCAGGATTAAGTGTGGACACAGTCACACCACATATCGGGACATTCCCAGGCACGGGCACAAGGGGCTGTCCCACAGGCTAGAGCGGCCTCGGACGGCCCCAGTGGGACCCTGAAGCCACAGGGCCAGTCCACGCCCCACCGTTGTTGGCGGGTCCCGGCGGTGCACTCAGACCCACGGCGCTGGGGAGAGCCCTGGGGCGCGCCCTGGGGCGCAAGCGACCGGCTCCGGGGCAGTCCCAGGAAGAAAG